GAAATGTAGCTTTGTTTTATTGTTTTTATTATTTTTAAGTAACAAAGCATATACAACTAACATGTTACACAGTAAAAATAATTCTAAGTCTACTTTTAGAACTAAATAAATATTGATTTTAATTGTTGCCTTTAACTATACATGTAGGTATATAAGCACATACACACACACAAAAAGGAAATGTTTAAGAAATATTAAGAAATTGAAATTCAAACATTTCCCCAGAATCCCTGAAGACTATTTGTTTAGCAAAATAATTTAACATATTTAAAGACAAATTTCAACCCTAGTAATGTCTAAATTAATGTGAAATTAAATTTGACAATGACTGTTCAGTTATACAAATATACTTAACATTTGCAGTATTATTCCTGAGGCTAACAATAAAACCTCCATGGTAACAAAGGGCTAATAGAACTGGATTAAGCAAGACTCATCGCCTGAATTGTTTGACATATTTATCCCTTCTCTTGAGAACACTATTAAAATCATAGGATCAAGCAAATGTTATGATCAAAAAAGACAGAAGCTTTGGAGTCAGGGACTCATGTGTTTCCTAACCACTTATTAGGTATGTGATTGTAAGTTATCTAAATTCTCCTTAAGGTGAAATACAAGCAATTATACAGAAAGCAAAGTAAAGATAACATTCACTAACATACATAAAACATCCAGTACAATGTGTGGGACAGAGTAAGAACTCAAGAAATGCTATTTCCCACATATCCACCACCCTATAACTGTAAGCCCCCTCTCCTCGACTTCTATTCTCATCTCCTGATAAATATAAATAGGTGGAGACACATGGATAACACTGATTATGTAGACAAAGAGAGAGTCAAAGTCAAAGATTTCAGTCAGGGGAATATACCAAAAAAATCAAAGAATCCCACAACTTCTAGATTAAAAATAATACTTGAAGATTGCCTCTTCCAACAATGTATAGTCAGACATGCTGGTGTGAGGGTCAGCACTCCTATTGTCTTTCTTTATATCCACTAAATTTTAAAACAGGAGTCATTTACAATGTCTGCATTCACAAACTGTAAAAATTAGAACTACTTCGTCATCCGTAAATGTGAACAGATTTATTCACAAATAGCATAAAGCAAAAGGTAATTCTATTTTTTAATGTTATATGTGCAATGGTTAATAAATTTTAATTTTATTATTCAAATAGAATCTTTAGTGATAAAATACTTACATTTTTCAGATTAAAGGAATGCCCAGAGTAACTCAAATTTCTGTTCTCATCTTTGAAAATCTCATTGACTCCAATATTACATTTAATACCAAGATGTAATAAAGGTCATGGTATAATTGAGAGAGGCAGGTTCCTAATATTCTGAGTTGTATAATATGGTAGATGGTGTTGCCACTAAAATAAGGACTACTAAGAGTGAACTAGGTTGGGTTGGATTGGGTTGGATGGAGATTTTTAATTCATCCTTGGACACAGAAAGTTTAGGGTACTTCTAAGACACCCAAGGAGGCATGTCAAGTAAACAAATGATTACAGAGGCAGACAGTTCAGAGAAGAAATCTGAGTGAGAGTAATAAATGTGGGTTGTCTTTAGGATACCACCTAAGGGAGTGACATAGCCTAAGGCCATGCCTTGCGTAACTCCAAAATAGATTGGTTGATTGGAGGGAAAGAAGTTTATAAAGGGGTGGACAGAAAGAGAATATTAAGATCTGGCATCTTGGATCCCAAACACCAAGTGATAAGAAGGAGCATGAAGTCAACAAAGTCAGATACTATGAGGAGGTCAAGTAAGATAGTCACTAAATTTAGTAATGTAGAGCTCATTGGTGATCCTACAGATACCTATTTCACTACTGATGGGAAAGAAGCCAGAAATATGTGGGTTGAAAACTTACAGCCAAGATGGAGGCATAAGTAGATACACTTTGCTTCCTTGCACAACTAAAAGCAGGACAACAACAAATTTAAAAACAAAAAATAACCAGAACTGCCAGAAAACTGAACTGTATGGAAGTCTGACAACCAAGGAGTTTAAGAGGAAACATTCATCCAGACTGGTAGGAGGGGCAGAGAGGACATGCAGCAAGGCAGGGGCTGAAGGATTGGGAAGGGCAGGCGGCGGCTGGCTGACCCGTAGTCCCACATTTGCATGCAGATAAACCATGAGGAACAGCTGGGGAGCAAGACAGACTGTGCTTTCCAGGGTTCCAGTGCAGGAAAAGAAAGCCTCAAAACCCCTAGCTGTCAAAACCTGTGGGGGCTGTGGTGGCGGGAGAAACTCCCAGCCTCACAGGAGAGTCCATTGGAGAGATCCACAGGGCCCTAGAAGGTACACAAACCCACCCACCCAGGAATCAGCACTAGACGGGTCCAATTTGCTTGTGAGTAGTTGGGGAAGTGACTTAAAGCCAGCCCAGAGCCCAGCAAGTCGTATTGTTCCCTCTCCAAACTCTCCCTCACACACAGCATCACAACACAGCGACCTGGGTTGCCTGCCCTGGCAAATACCTAAGACTCTGTCCCTCTCAACATAACAGGCGTGCTGAGACAAAGAAATATGGCCCAAATGAAAGAACAGTTCAAAGCTCCAAAAATAAAACTAAGCAAAGAACAGATAGCCAACCTTTCAGATGTATAGTTCAAAACACTGGTAATCTGGATGCTTACATAAATGGTTGACTATGGTCACAAAGTGGAGGGAAAAGTGAAGGCTATGCAAAGTGAAATAAATAAATATACACAGGGAACAAACAGTAAAAGGAAGGAAACTAAGACTCTAATTAATGATTTGGAGCAGAGGGAAGAGATAAACATTCAACCAGAACAGAATGAAGAAACAAAAATTCAAAAAAATGAGAAGAGGCTTAGGAATCTCTGGGACAACATTAAATGTTCCAACATCTGAATCATAAGGGTGCCAGAAGGAAAAGAGGAAGAGCAAGATATTGAAAACTTATTTGAAAAATAATGAAGAATTTCCCCAATCTGGCCATGGAAATAGATTTCCAGGAGATCCAGGAAACTCAGAGAGTCCCAAAGAAGCTGGACCCAAGGAAGCACACACCCAGGCACATCATAATTACATTACACAGGATTAAAGCTAAGGAGAGAATCTTAAAAGCAGCAAGAGGAAAGGAGACAGTTACCTACAAAGGAGTTCTCATAAGATTATCAGCTGATTTCTCAAAAGAAAACCTTACGGGCAAGAAGGGGCTGGCAAGACGTATTCAAAGTCATGAAAGGCAAGGACCTACATCCAAGATTACTCTATCCAGCAAAGCTATCATTTAGAATGGAAGTACAGATAAAGTGCTTCCCGGATAAGGTCAAATTAAAGGAGTTCATCATCACCAAGCCCTTATATGAAATATTAAAGGGACTTATCTAAGAAAAAGAAGATCAAAAACTATGAACAGTAAAATGACAACAAAATCACAATTATCAACAACCGAACCTAAAAAAAAAAAAAAAACAAACTAAGCAAACAACTAGAACAGAAACAGAACCATAGAAATGGAGATCAGAGGGGAGAGGGTGGGGGAAGAATGAGGAAAAAGATACAGGGAATAAGTAGCCATAAATAGTGGGTACAAAATAGGCAGGGAGAGGTTAAGAATAGTATAGGAAATGGAGAAGCCAAAGAACTTACATGTATGACCCATGGACATGAACTAAGAGGGGAGGGAGGTCCTGGGGTGGGGGTCAGTGCAAGATGGAGGGGAATAAAGGGGAGAAAAAAATGGGACAACTGTAATAGCATAATCAATACAATACATATTTTTTAAAAAAGAAATATGTCTGTTGAGAACTAAGAGGGAGTTGAGAAAATAAGTGTGCATAATCACTCTTAGAACAAGTTTGGCTAAAAACAAAGAAAGCAAAGGTAATACGAGGAAATATGAAAATTTAAAAAGAGTTATCTGGGGAAGGCAGAGAGGTGAAGATTCTTTTTAGGATCAAGACTTACACATATTTAAAAAGTAATACAGGACCCAGTTGAAAAGAAAAGGTGAACCTAATATAAAAAACCACACAAATTTTCTGGGAAATTTTGATGGGATACAAAAGACAAGCACAAGAAACAGATGCAAAACAGGGAACAGTTTGTTCTATGGAAGTAGGGAAAGGGAATGGACACATGTGGTGGATTTGGATAGCTAGTCCCAGAAGATAAGGGAGTTGCCACCTGATGATTCTCATTCTTTCTGTAAAGTAGGAGAGATTTTTTTCTAACTTTGATGGGAAAGATAAGATCAGAGATTTGAGAGAAGTAAAGAATATTTGAAAAGTTGTATACAAAATAAGAGCAAGTATAGACCAGAGAGAGAAATCATACATACCACAATTTCTTGAGTACGTGAGAGTATGATAGAAAAAAATGTAAGTGTCCAGTCACATTAAAGAAACCATACTAATAATCCCTGTTGGAGATGCAAACAATGACCAAAGTCAGATTAGAAATTATATTTTATCAAAATTTACTTCTTGAAACAGTAGAAAATATAATTAATATAATTAGTAAAAGAGTATACCAAGACAAGTGAAGTCAGAAGTTTCAGGAAGATCCTGAAATCAGTAAGAAAAATAACAGTGAGACAACAGCAGCACAGCAAATCTAAATACAGTTTTTATAGGTGAAGCAGACTGCTACTTTCTAATAAGTTTTTTTGCTTCCTGTTAACACAGTAGAAGCTAATTTCTATATAATACTGGCTTGCCACATTTTTAACCAAGAATTCATAGTGAACCTGGAGGACAGTAATGAGAAGACAAGCCAGCTTTTAACAGGATTTTGTGGAAAATAGTTTAAACGTAAAACATTAAGACATATAATCAGTACACTATATAGACAAAAACATAATTATTTTTCTGGAGTCCTGGAAAGTAAGTTTTACACTTAAAATGAAATTTCAACCTCTAACAATTTTACATCCATAGTATACATAACTGAAGTATTTCTTTAAAATTGCATCAATTAAACTTTTTTCCTTTAAATTATTTTTGTTTTACTCACTCAGACTTCTTTTCACAGGTTTTAGAAGATTCCTCAATTCTTTTCTCTAGCTCCAGGACAGCTTCCTCCTTGTTTAGAAGCATTTGCTGTGTCTGCATAAGTTCCTCTGCTAAAGTTTTCACCCTAGAATGGATAGTTTCTTCATTATCAATCCATTCATTAATTGCATGCATTTTGCACAACACACTAACATTTATACATCTAAGGCTGTGATGCCCAAAACAGAAGCCACAGGTAATTTAATTTAAATTCAAGTAAAATTTCAGTTTCATGGTTGCATTAGCCACCTTTCATGGACAGAACACACACATGTGGCTAGTGCCTAACTTATTGGATGGTACAGAACAGAACATTTTAATAATCACAGTAAGTACTCTTGGGCAGTGCTTTTCTAGAGAGTCTTATTCATTAAATGGAAAAAGAGAAACAGAAACAGAATAAAGAAAGAAGACAACACTAAATTAAATTCCTGTTATATTCCAGGAAGAGTGTAAAACGAAATGATCATCATTTTTGTTTTTAGATGCATATCTACACTCTAGTTTTAGCACTTTTTATCTGAGATCTTGGGCAAGTTACTTAGCTCATCTTCTCATTTGCAATTTGGATACAGTGATACCTGCTTCAAAGCATTGTTTTGAGGATCAAATGAACTAATGCATATATGATGACTGGTACTTAGTAGGCATTGAGTAAATGGTTTCTAGTATTATTTGCCTCTGATGTATCAATAACTTATGAATTAGATCCAGTATCTTTATATTAAATTAAAGAAAGTGAGTCTCAGTTATATAATAATTTAAATTGATAGTAAGCTATTTGGACATATTGTAATAATGCTTTAGAGGTATTTTCTATACAGATTTGAAGAGAATTAAATATACAAAATTAATATGCAGTCATAATGCCACATAATTTATAGTTGCCTAAAACGCATTTGGTCCTGAATAGAAATATTTCTATCACAAAACACACACAACTATCAAAGTACAGTAAAATTTTTATCTTTAGCATTTTAAAGCTGTGCATGAAAGCCAAAATATAAGAAAGGTGAATAATCCATATCTTAAAATTGTAAATTATTTGAAGTTAAAGAGACAATAAAGTCAAAATTAAAAGTCATACTGTGAAATATTTGCAATGCAAATTATAAGCAAAGCTCTCTTAATTCAGAAAAAAATCTTAGAAAAAAGACAACCTAATATGAAAACAGACAATGCAACTGGAAGTTCATCAAGAAAAAAATTCAAATAATTAATAAGCACATGGAAATATTTACTTCCTGACCCACAATTAAATATCTGCAGATTAAATAACCAGTAAGTTTTTTTTCAGCTACTAAAATTGACAAGCATAAAAAGTGGTAATATTCAGTGTTCTCAATAGTGGAAAAAAAATAAAACACACATACACTGTTGATGTGACAAAACTGGCACAAACTTTTTCATAGATCAATGTGGAATTGTCTCTGAAACATCAAATTTGAATATTCTCTGACCACCTAAAAATCTGTTTTACCAAAATACTTTACAACATGCACAAAATTAGATATGAACATGTTTATTGCAATATTGTTTTTAAAACAAAGAAAACATTTAAATGTCCATAAATGGGTGAATTGCTGAATAAATTTTAATATATTTTAAGAGACAGAATAGCATGTAGTCACTTAAAAATGAGATGCACACTTATAAGGTTCTTCTAAAAGACATTTTTAAATTAAAATGCATGATGCAGAATACATATAACATGGTTCCATTTATATTAAAATAAATGTATGTGTTCGTCTGCTATAGACTGAATTTTATTCCCTTAAAATTCTCATACTGAAGCTCTAATAACCAACGTTATGGTATTATTTTTTTTCATCCTCACCAGAGGACTTTTTTTTTTCATTGCTTTTAGTGAGAGAGGGAGAGAGAAACATTAATGCAAGAGAAAAGCAACAATTATTTGCCTCCTATATGCAACCAGACCCAGTATCAAGCCTACAGCCTAGGTATGTGACCTGACCAGGAATCACACCTGCAACCCTTTGGTCATGGGACAATGCTCCAACTAACTGAGCCACACAGATAAGAGCAATGTGATGGTATTTTTAGCAAGGGGGAGTTGGAAGGTAATTAGGTTCAGATGATACCATGAGAGTGGAGGCCTCATGATGGAATTAGTGCCCTTTTAACAAGAGATACCAGAGAGGCTGTTCATGCTCCCTCTGTTTCTTTCTCCCAACACCCACAAAGAAGTCATGTGAGTACAAGAAGGCAGCGATCTACAAACCAGGAAGAGAGTCTAGGCAGGAACCAAGTTGGCCAGCACCTTGATCTAGAATTTCTAACCTCCAGAACTGTGGGAAATAAATTGCTGTTGTTTAATGCACCAGTTTGTGGTATTTTGTTATGGCAGCCACAGCAGACTAACATAATATGTATGTAGCTGTGTGTGTGTATGTGTCTGTGTGAACACAGAAGAACTAGATTACTACAAATGAAACTTATCAATACTCTGAAAGATGTAGGATTGGAATAGAGGGTAATTTAAAACAAAAAAAAGGGGTTTTTATATTTTCTACATTTACTTATATTATTTGAATCTCTTATAACAAGAATTAACTTAATTTTTTAATTAGTAACTAATAGGTAACAAATATGAAAGAGGCAGAAAAACTATGAGGTATAATCAGAAGAGCTCAAAAATATATAGCAATGCAGATTATTTCATCTTTGCCCAGGGCTGGTAGCTCAGTTGGTTAGAATTTCATTTCAATACACCAAAGTTGTGGGTTTAATCCCTGGTCAGGGCACATATAAAAAGCAACCAATGAATGCATAAGTAAGTGTAACAGATTATTTCATCTGTCCTTAGAGTTAGGCAACATAAAAAATCTCAATAGGTTTCTAAGGGCATTACTATATTATAGCAAAACATAATCAATGATGCTTATAACGATTCAGAAACATAAGGAAAAGGTTAATGTAAGATCAGTATTTTTCTTTAAAAATACACATGTACCTATATTTTTAAGAGATTTACACCAAATCTAGTAAAATTATGTTTTTTAATTTAATGGTGAGATGAACCTTAGTTATCCGGAAAATTCACTTATAAGGAATAGTTCTTATCCTGGCTATATAAAGAAAGCATTAGTGTGCTTAAATTAGAGATCATTCTCAAGAAAGATACATTTCAACTTCTGGTTTCAGGTTACTTATAAACTATTATAAACAAGTAAGTAAATAACACACAGAATCCTTTGTTGTTTATAAAATTCTGCCTTTTATATGATCTCACTTAGTGCTCATAAAAGTCCGTATCATAGGACCCTACCTCAGAACCTGTCCCAACCACCTTCTGTCACACCGACCTAGAGGCTACGGAATAAGAACCAACTTCTCACCACTGTGTTGGCCATGTTACATCAAAGCTGAGTTTGATTGAAAAAAAAAAAGCTCTTTTCCCTCTTCATCATTTTCCTCTCCTCCGTTTTATCTTTTACTTCTCTCTCCTGTATCTTTTTCTTATTCTTTGTTCTCTTCCCTGTGTGGTTGCCTCTTGCGTCCCCCCTACTAGGGACCTGGCCTGCAACCCAGGCATGTGCCCTCACTGGGAACCAAACCTGCAACCCTTTGGTTCGCAGACTGGCGCTCAATCCACTGAGCAAACCAGCCAGAGCATTCCTGATTAATTTTCTATTCACTTCTCTTCTCAATTCTTCATTCATTCACTTAAACAAGTGTTCACTGAGCTAGACACTAGGGATAAAACAGTAGACAAGTCTGCCTTTAGGAAACTTATATTCTAGAAGAACATCAACATTTTTTCCTCCAAACTTCTCTTCTTTTTTTCCCCTTTGACTATTACTGCTTGATTTGCCTAGTTTCCTCTCAATTCTCACTGTATCTTATCCTCCCATCCATCCTGAAATAAGTACATAGTCCTTCCAAACTGTAAAGTGCAGGCACCACAGCTTATTCTTCACAGTGCAGTCGTTACACTTCACACAGTACCTTGCACATTGCATGTGTTCAACTCAGTCCTCTGTCCTGTTTTTCTCACTAGAAGCCCATACATTCTGATTTTTCCATAATTCTTTACCAAGACCATCCTGATTCTTACCACTCTGGATTATCAGAAAATAAAACTGAAGCTTTTCAGTTTTCAATGTGGAAACAGCATAATGCACAGCTTTCACCCATTAACTAATTCTGGACTAACCGTATACAAACCACTACTGTGGCAGTGCCGTGAGGGAAGCTTTAGATCTGTATGCAGAAGTCACTGGTGCAGAGCTGACTCCTTTCATGTAAAAATCCTATCATCATGCTCACTTTACTTGCCACATCAGAGTAAGAGAAACATTTGTGCTTACAACTCTACATCTACACTATATTTTATAAAGCCCCTTATTCTGGTGTACCACACACCAGCTCTAGGACCAGACACCCTCAGGTTCAATATTTACTTAGCTTTTCTCAACTTCCATTTCCTACTCTAACAAAATGGAAATTAATTTGATACCTAACTGAATTAAACAATTATGTTACATTAAAGCAGTAAAACACTGTACCCTATTAAGATACATATACTTTAAGAGAACAAGGCAAAGGATTATGCATAGAATAACCCCACTTAAGTAAAGAAAACCATTTATGTACATGCATGTGCTTGTGAATACATCCTGGAAAGATACATACTTTTTTTTTTAATGAATTAACATTGGAGGTTAGAAGCAGGTCTAAAAAAAGAGAAAAGTATTTCGATTTTCACCGTATACCCTTTTGTAAGATTTTGCAGATTTTATCATCTGCATTCATTAGTTAATTTTTAAAGATTTAACTGTATTTAAAGATATAAAAGCCTAAAACAATTATTGTGGGTAATAATAAGTTTTCAGTACTTATACAGTCCTTTTTGTATCCCCAAAGAATTGGATGTCATTATCTATATCTTACAACACTCTTACAGAGACCCAACTTCCTAAAATATTATAAATTATAAATGCCCAAACTGTCACATTGTGACATTTGGGTTAATGAAAATCAAATAGAATAAAGGTTGCCTTAAGTAATTTTATGACATCTTTATTATTGCAACATAAATTGAATAAACCATTTTTTTGCAAT